CTAGAAGGCATACTTGTTTATGTATGTTTCTGTCATTGGGGGTTAGTTTGCTTGCAGTGTGTGTGTAGATTTTAATCCACATTATATCCTTGGGTCTTTTTTCTACGCATCGTTTGCAATTTTGAACGTTGCAATCTTCTATGCAGCTATCCTATAACCAATTGAATTTGTGGTCCTTATACTTACAATCAAACGCTTTAGTGGTATTTTTTAGATTACCTAGTCTGAAGACTTTTATAAGAGAAACGCTCAAACGTGGCGGTTGCCTTTTGGATAATTTTCAACGAAATGGAATGGACTATAATGCTTTTTTTTACTGTACTGATGATCAGTGTAACTGCCACTCGTAGTCAACTCATTATTTTTATGGTCATATTCTCTGTAGATATCGCCACGAGATGCGGTCAAACGAACTGTTCTCGGAAATGAAGTTGGTCATCCAACAATTTGCTGAGCCGCTTACCACGCTGGCGACTGTATGAAATTTCATCTATCATCTGCCCTTGTTTTTTTTAGCAATACTTATGACGCTAAGCAGAGAGATTTTTACCATTTGTTTATTTCTGGTTGTACTTATAGTTGTATCTTTATACATATACTACATAGCGCTTTATCAATAAGCTATTTCTGCAAAGTTTTCTACGAGGGCTCATAAAAGATCATTAAAACTGAGTACATTGTGCACGTAAAGTCTACAAGGGGTTCGCCTTCCCAAGATGTTACCATCGAGCTAGCCAGCTAATTCCTAATATGTCATTTATTTGTCCTTTCCCTTTATCTTTTCGTTCTACTTTTACAGAATTTGATGAATTTCGTCGTCGGCCCCAATCGAATAAACGATGGTCCACGCCTAGTGAACATTTTCCGGGCACTGCTATTCATTTGCAAAATATTCCTCAGTTTAAATTGCCAGGTAGGTCGTTGTGACATCCTTACTTTGAATGTTATATCAAATGCGTTTTTGATGTTGCTACGAACTTTTCGGGGTGCGTAATTTCGTTGGTAGCCTACCCGATCTCCACCTCGTGGTGCCGTCACCAGCTCACCCACGGGGCTATTGCTACTTTTTAGGCGACACTACTCACGCCCCGTAGTAATGATTAAGAAAACTGAGAAACTTTGGATAAAAACGGAAGCTTAGAGGGCCTTGGAGATCTTGGGTTTGTGGACTACCTATCCAGTCGAGTCTCGAGTCCCATTATTGTCAGCACCGACAATCATAACTTCTTCTATCTCTAGAGGTCTGTTTGACTCAGTCCAA